ATATAAGTTTTGACATCCAATAGTGAAAATTATGAATCCCAAAGAATGCACTCTTGAAAATTATCCATTAACTAGGGAAGGAATCAGATTTGATATTTCTCACATGTATTTGATAATCATTGATGTAAGAAAAATGGGGTAACTTGTTTAAGTGAATTTTAAGTACTAAAATGCATCAAAATGCAGGATTTTGGGTGCCAGACCCCCTTACTTGGCTTCGATTATTTTCAGGATTTTTAGGAAAGGGACACTTTCATCTCTGATAAACTCAAAAGGCTCTTCAGGAATATAAAATTTAAGCTGAATCAGTTAGTTATTAAATGTGTATTTTTAAGTTGTTTTGATAAATATGAAATTGTCATTTTTTTTTATATAAGTTTCAAGTGATTTGTTTGAAAATTTATTTTACATTTTCTTGAAGGTGGAATTATAGTTGAAGATATAAGCTTACTCTTACCAGCTAGGAAATTAGTTATTTAAAGTATAAATAAAATTCTTTTGCAATATTTAGTATAATGTTTTTTTTTTTTCCCAAGTACTTATCAATTAGCTTGTCAGACCATGGTAAAGATATGTTAACTTAGTGTTGTAAGCCAAGGCACGTGTTTTGTATGTACCGTATACCTGTAGCTTCAAGTAAAAGATGTAGCTTTAATGAAAACATTTCTTCATATAAAGAAAAAATACTTAAAATATGGGGGAAATGCCACATTATTTCTTTATTCAAGTACATTGACTTAATTGCATGTTTCCTGTGGAACTGTTAAAAGATAATACAAAACATACAAGTGTGTGTAACACTATTTGATAATGTAGAATAATACATTGCATCTCAGCTGGTAGGCTAATAATTATTTACTGTTCTAGTAGACTCAGATGAAGTTCTTTCAAAAATTTACTTTATGATCTCTTGGTGATTTTTTATTTTTACTTATCCAAGTAGAACCATTACTTTGAAAAGAGACATTTTCAAGCATTAATTTTGCACCATTTTAATTATATATGTGGCTGTACTGTCCACTTGGAATGACATAGACACTTTTCTGAATAAGTCATACCTACAAAATTAAAAAACAACAACTACATTGTAGTAAAGTGAAGACTTTTGTGTAATAATACAAAGTACTGTTTTTGTTGTTTTTTAATTTAATAACATAGATATATTAATGTTTTTTAGAAATTGAATAACTAGTTCACATGATCTTACTAGCAACTCTTCTACCCTTCCTTACTTAAATTCTACTCTCCCACCAAAATGCAATCTGACAGCAGGAGTGTTTCTCATTCTTATGCTTTAGTTCTGTTCTTTCCATCCCATAGTTTTTCAGATTTGTTTCCCTCTATCTTTGGAACTTCTGAAGACCCATCTTACAACTTCTAAGTAACAGTCTTTCTCAACAAACTGTGCCTTTCATTCTTTAACATTTCTACAGCTACATTCCAGTATTCACCTTTCATTAACACCAACTGCCATAGTTATTTTAAACTTAAACCTTTCACATCATTTGGAACTCCAATCTAACCTTCTCTTTTTCATTATCTAGCTTTTCAGCTTCCATAGCAATGCAAATTTCATTTTAATTTCAATCTTTAATTTTTATGCACATAAAAACAGCCTTAGATTAGTACTAGTTTTTTAATTTATTACTGTCAAATATTTTGCCACCAGGAATACATCTACATGCAATAACATACAGCATTAAGGTTTGAAGTGATAAAATGTAGAATAGGTTTTTCTGCACTTACTAAGTATTATATTTGTTTATATTATATTTGTGTCTTTCTCAGACACAAAACAGTGGCAGTTGAAAGACATTTTATATATTTTATGGTTTACAAATTATATATCAGAAAATACTATATTAAAAACATTATAATAATATCCAAAAGCTGATATTGTTGCAATGTTCTGTCATTGGATAGGCTCTTTTTTGCATTATTTTATAAAAATAATATAAAGTGCAGTCCATGTGATAATAATAAATTAATTGTTTTCTTCAATAACTTTTGCAACATGCTATTTCCATTTTGATACAAGTTGTAGGCCTAATACATTAATAATGTTTAATAGAAGTTTCCTTGATTGATAACAAATGCTGATTAGCTTACAGAAGTACTAACTGTTACTGAATAACCATTCTCTAACAATATACTTCCAAAGACATGCGTGGTGAATAACCTTTGATTTGAATTGCCTATCAATCTGATTCTGTAAACCACATGATTGATTCTTTTCAGACCAACATATAACTCTTCCCAACACTCTAAACCCTGTGTTCGCCCTCTCTTGCATTGTCACCTTAATTGTATCCAGTCTTGTCAGCATTAAAATCATAGTAACTTTTAATTTCATCACTAGCTAATTTAATTTTTTCCCAGAAAATACTTGAATTGACTCTTGATAAAGAGAAATGTACTATCATGTAAGTGCTGATAAAACTGTATTCCATGAAGGTGATTTGGCATGGCTGAACAGTTCTTGCCACAAGAAAGGCTAAACTCCAAAATTCGATAGGTATTTGGTGGAGAGACAGTCCAAGCCATAGGACATAGAAAGAATGGCCAACTGGGTAACTCCAGAGAAGAACTTGTCAGTAGAAATTCAACCCTCTGAGAAGTCTGGAGTTCCTGTTGACACTACTTCCAGAGAATCATCAGAATTGGAGCTGCCAGTGGATTTACCTGACCATCTACTCAGGAAGAAGTCCAGGAAAAGACACCATCCCAATCCATCTCAGAAGAGAAAACCACCAGAAAGACTTGGTGAAAGACAATTTAGTGTGGTGTTTTATTTTATATTGTATTAGGATTTTTCAAGGGACTTCACAGTCCAGGAAGGGGCAGTGTTATAAGCACTGTCTTTAATATTAGCTAAAAGCATGCCTGGACTGGCTGTTCTGGCAAATACCAGAGAGGCTGGTGCACTCAAGGGCTGATGGGCCAGTCTTTGTGAAAAATTAAAACATCAAATGTAATCAATGTCAAAATATCAAACACTCTTTCACTCCTTGTTTTTATTGATTTCTATTCACTCTGAGTTCTGTATTTATGATGTTGCTGTGTTGCTAAATCACTCAAAGCCACGTCTTTCAATGATACTTCATGTAGGATTTCCATTGAATAGCCTAATTAGTTGTCCAATACAGATAGGCCTACATACTATACAATAACTAAAATAAGTGAATAAAAATAAAGTATGTTAAACTATTTACACAATTTTTTATTAATCAAATACTTGTGCTTGAAAAACACATAAATTAAGCTCAGAAAAATGATTTGGCAAAGAGCCTGTAGCTTGAACTTGGGCTCTTCATCCCACTTGTGGGTGTCGTAGCAATGGAAATGTCTTATTGAAAAAAAAACACCAGAAAACATCGTTGATATGTAGACATGCATACCTATATGTATGCTCAAACACTTGTCATAATAAAAGCTTTTGAGGTTAGGCACAAGAAGAAAAAGCTCAAAAAGTAACTATGACACCATGTGGGAGGTGTTCTATCAATATGGAAAGCATTGTAACATATAAACCCTGTATGTTTTGGATCAGGAAACTGTAGATCTAATAACCTTGATTTAGATGTGGGAGAACCACAATAAAACCCACTTTCCATACTTGAGCATCAAATATTCTACCCAAATAGTGCCATAACTGTGTATCTAAATTGAAAAATAAAAGACACCTTGGTTATTTGAGATTGACTGGGGATGTAATGTGCACCATGATTCTGGAGTTGCTGCTACTTATCGGAATTGGCTTGATAATGGATTGTGGTTAACAGCTTTAGAATAAAATTTTAAAGCTAACTTGATGTTAATTGCTTGACTGTTGAGATTTTATTGATGATATTAAGATATTAATTTGGAGTGCAGGTAGGT